TAAATAATATACTATGACTGAGTACAATAATGTGAGCATAGAATAAAACCTAAACAGGATCTCTAAACATGAAGGCAAACAAGTTCAACAACAAGTAAACACATAACCACAGATAATAGCTTTTAGGCCTGGCCTCACGGGACGGAGCAAGTCTCAATCCCTTGCGGTGCACACCCACACGCCCGTCACCTAGCATGGGTATCACTACCAAACAATCACATGATATCAATTTCTCCTGGTTTATACCCTCAAAACCAGAGTTAAAACTGTTACTTACCTCAACAGCGTAAAATCCTACTCCGAAATGTCCTCGTCCCTCGACTCGGTCTCCAAAAGTTTCGAATCTAACCATAATAAGAATACATAGTCTAAAGAATCAAATTACACAATAAAAACTACATAAACACGCCAAAAATTCGAAATCGGCCAAAACTCGGCCCCGGGCCCACGTCTCAGAATCAGTCAAAAATGACAGAATAATAATCCTCGTCCTCTCCCGAGTCTAACCATATAAAATTTATCAAAATCGGACTCCGTTTGGTCCCTCAAATCCTTACTTAAAACTCTCCAAAACTCAAACCCTAACTCCCTCAAATTCACTTTGAAATCATCAATCAAATCCCAAAAACAAAGATGGATTCATAAATTATAATCAAAATCGAGTAGAGAACACTTACCCAATTCATATGGTGAAAATCGCCTCCAAAATCTCCCAAATCCGAGCTCCCCAACTCAAAATATGACTGAATGAACAAACCCTAGTTTTGTATATTTTTCTGCCAGCTATTCTACCTCGTTTCTCATGCCAAACGATCCCAAAACTCGTGGTCTATGTCTCCAATGGATTCCTTGTGAAATTCTAGTCAAGTTAGGCTTTTGAATCACTCAATTTGACCTTATGACGAAGGAGATATGTAGGTTTTAATATTTGCAAATAGTGCAGATTTTTAAATACGCCGTCAGTGGCAATTTCGTAATTAATCTGAAAAAATCTGGCAACCTAATTCTTAGTAAAATGACCAAAAAATCCTCATACGATGTCCAAATTCGACGATTCTTTTTACTACGGGTCTGTAATCACGATACGGATCTAATGCTTCAATCAAAAAAGAAATCGAAGCTCATTTGTTCAATACGATATCATTTATGCTTGAAGAAACAACGTCGAAACGTAAGAAAAACGAGCGCAACACAGCCCAAACCTATTCAAAACTCACCCGAGGCCCTCGGGACCCCAACCAATAATTCCAACAAGTCATATATCCCTACCCAAACTTAGTCGAACCTTCGGAACACCCAAAACAACACCAAAACACCAAATCAACCTCGAATTCAAGCCTAAGAACTTCTAAACTTCCAACTTTTGCCAATTCAAGCCTTATTCTACCACGGACCTCCAAATTATATTCCGGACACACTCCTAAGTCTAAAATCACCCAACGAAGCTAGTCGAATCATAAAAATCCAAATCCGAATTCGTTTACTCATAAGTCAACTTCCGGTTAACTTTTCTAACTTAGCTTTCTAACTAAGAGACTAAGTGTTCATTTCACTCCAAAACTACTCTGAACCCAAACCTACCAACTTGATACAACTCAACACAGCTGAACAACACACAAAGAAGCATAAATAGGGGAAACGGGGCTATAACTCTCAGAGCGAACGACCGGGTCGTTATAGGTTCAAAGGTAACAATCCTTGAAAAATGATAGGATCTAATGCTCATAATGAGGAGGAAATGAGCTCTAGAAGATCCCACGACATAACATTTCATGAAACTCCAAAAGAAGTTCATGTACCTGAAAATAAAGAAAGTGATGAGAATTCAACAAGTTATGTCGCTTAGAAACCGATACAAAATGATCGTCGACGATATATTTGATACAATATAGTGCACAATATTGTAAAAGATTGTGAGGATCATACCTGTAGTCCAGACACCTGAAGATGTCATGCCATTTAAATGGAAGGCATAACCTATATGACTCATTTGATTAAATCTATATGAAGATCCATGAACGATTTAAGATGCTTGAAGCATATAATTCAAAGTCTCGAGAAATGTGCTCGATCAAATTACGAAGATCTTTGTACGGTTTAAAGTAATCTGGGCATGTGGTATAATCGCCTCAGTGAATATTTGCTGAAAGAAGATTACATAAATGATGTTATTTTTCCATTTATTTTTATAAAGAAAGTATCATAAGAATTTGTTATACTTATTATTTATGTTGATGACATAAATCTTGTTGGAACTCCAGAAGAGCTCCAAAAAGGCAACTGAATATCTTAAGAAAGAATTTGAGATGAAAGATCTTGGAAAATTAAAACTTTATCTTGGTCTGCAAATTGAATATTTAGCAGACGGGATCTTTATCCATCAATCTGCCTATACAGAAAGGGTCTTTAAACGTTTTTATATGGACAAAGCGCACCCATTAAGTACACCAATGGATGTTCTGTTGATACCCAATTTTTTCCTGTATTTTTTAATATGCAAAATACCTTCAAAATAGCATGTATATGCACATATAAGTACGTCCCAAAGTTTTATTGTTTTTCCTAATTTTTAAAAAAAAATTTAAATCAATTTATTGCCTTATTTTATCAAGAAAAACCCAGTAATTATTCCCAAATTTATCATTTTGGTAATTCAATTTGATTCTCATATTTACACTAAAATATAGCTAACATAATTTTTGCGCATTTTTTACAAATTTATTTAGTATTTTAAAAGCTAATTGCGTATAATTGTAATATTAGCCTCTTTTAAGGTTTAATTTTGTTTATAATTATAAAATTGACTCCAGTATTTTTAATTTTATAATTACGTATTATTAATCATTTCAGTACCTTTAATTTATTTTCAGATCAGCTCTTTTACGCGTTCTTTTCCAAGTGAGCTTAATTTCTCCCATTCTTTACTTCATTTTCTTATCCTTTTTGTGGCATTTAATTTCTCTTGCATATGCTTTGTTCTTTACAGTGTTGAATTTCAAATTTCCCCCTCTTTGTTTGGCATAATCGCAATTTTCCTTATCTCTTTCCGTGAAAATTTTCACAATTTTACCTATTTTTCATATACCTTTTCAATTTTTGGATCTGTAGGCTATTTAGATATTAATTAGTGGTAATTAGGGTTTCCTATTCTAGATTAAAATATTTGTTTTTTAATTACCATTTAAGGTACTTCAGGCTTGTGGGTGTAGTTCTCTGCTTTATCCCTACATTTCCCCCACTACTGTCAGGGCTACACCAGTGGTAGCGGTGACAACCCTTGTTGGTTTTTGGGTCGTGCTATTTTCTGTGTTTTCAGGGAACTTCTCAAAGTTGTTGGAGACAAGTTGGGCGCACGAGCACCAGCAAAGGAGAGCAACCTGGACGAGCGTCAGCAAAGGGCGGTGGGAAGCGGTGCGTGAGCGTACAACTACATCGAGTACAGCAAATCAACACATGTTTGGTTCTCGGGAGTTGGTACCTACCGTTCTACTGTTTCCCTTTTGGTGTTAGCTAAATTGATGTTACTTTAGTTCACAATAGTTCAATCATTCAACTAGTGTACTTGTAGTCACTTGTTTCCTTCTAGTTTGATTCGCAGTCCGTTGTGCACTAGTGAGTCTTCTTTAGATTTGTCGTAGGTGTAGTGGCTGCAGTCTGGGATGATAGATTAAGGGCATGTCCTCGGGTGGGGCAGAGTGTGGGGCCGGGGTCAGGGTGTGGTACGGGAGGCAGGGGAGGTAGAGGGGGCAAGGGAGCCTATAGGTTGAGAATCGAGTCATGGAACATAGGTTCGCTGACGAGTAAGTCTATAGGGTTGGCGAAGATCCTTCACAAGAGGAAAATTAATATAGCGTGTGTCCAGGAGACTAGGTGGGTCGGATCGAGGGCGAGAAACGCGGATGGGTATAAGTTGTGGTACTCTGGAGTCCTGAGGGGTAAGAATAGAGTGGGTATCCTGGTAGATAGCCATCTTAGAGAGTCGGTGGTAGAGGTCAGGCGGGTGAATGATTGACTAATGACTATTAAATTGGTGGTGGGTGAGTGTACTTTAAATGTCGTTAGCGCGTACGTGCCGCAAGTAGGCTTGGATGAGGAGATTAAAAGGCGCTTTTGGGAGGGGTTGGATGACATCGTTCGTAGTATTCCGCCTTCCGAGAGGTTATTCATAGGAGGTGACTTAAATGGTCATATTGGGTCGTCTGCAGGTGGTTATACTGAGGTGCATGGCGGCTTTGGTTTCGGGGAGCGGAACGGAGGGGGCACTTCGCTGTTGGACTTTGCCAAGGCATTCGATCTAGTGATTGCGAACTCAAGTTTTCCGAAGCGGGAGGAGCATTTGGTTACTTACCGAAGCTCGGTGGCGAAGACTCAGATTGACTATCTCCTTCTCAGGAGATGCGATAGAAGGTTGTGCGAGGGTTGCAAAGTTATCCCAGGTGAGACCCTTGCAACGCAACATAGGCTTTTGGTGATGGACATTGGTATTATAATAAGGAGGAAGAAGAGGTCAATACGAGGCCGCCCGAGGATTAGGTGGGGCGCCTTGACTAAGGATAAAGCTCAGGAGTTGGAAGGAAGGTTATTGGCAATGGGAGCTTGGAGAAGTAGTGGGGACGCAAACACTATGTGGTCGACGACGGCGGACTGTATAAGGAAGGCGGCGAGAGAGGTGTTAGGGATATCTTCGGGCCGCGCCGGTGGCCACAAAGGAGACTGGTGGTAGAATGCAGTTGTCCAAGGTAAAGTGGAAGCGAAGAAGGCGGCTTACCTGCGGTTAGTAGGGAGCACTAGCGAGGAGGAGAAGAGAGCGAACAGTGAGATATATAAGGTAGCTAGGAAGGAGGCGAAGATGGCAGTAACGGAGGCTAAGACGGCAGCTTTTGCTCGTCTGTATGAGGAACTAGGGAACAATGGCGGGGAAAAGAAGTTATTCCGACTCGCCAAGGTGAGAGAGAGGACGGCTCGGGATCTGGACCAAGTGAGGTGCATAAAAGATGAGGACGGCATTTTGATGGGGGATGACCAGATTAAGAGGAGATGGCAAACCTACTTTCATAAACTTCTAAATGAAGAAGGGGATCAGGATATTGTACTAGGTGAATTGAGGAATGCTGACAACCCCCATGAATTAAGTTATTGTAGGGACATTGAGGTCGATGAGGTCATGGAGGCAATGCGTAAAATGAGGAGGGGCAGAGCTACCGGGCCAGACGAGATTCCGGTTGAACTTTGGAGGTGTGTGGGTAGAGCAGGCTTGGAATGGCTTACTGGGTTGTTTAATATTATATTCAAGACTAATAGGATGCCTGAAGAGTGGAGGCGGAGTACAATGGTTCCGTTGTATAAGAACAAAGGTGATATCCAGAGCTGTAACAACTATAGGGGTATCAAATTACTGAGTCATACCATGAAAGTCTGGGAGAGAGTGGTAGAGATCAGAGTGCGAAGGACGGTGTCTATTTCAGACAACTAATTAGGGTTCATGCCGGGGCAATCTACCACAGAAGCTATCCACCTTATTAGGAGGATGGTGGAACAATATAGGGATAAGAAGAAGGATCTCCACATGGTGTTTATCGATCAAGAGAAAGCGTACGACAGGGTTCCTAGGGAGGTCTTATGGAGCTGCTTAGAGGTTAAAGGGGTCCCGGTTGCCTACATTAGGGTGATTAAAGACATGTATGATGGAGCTAAGACTCGGGTTAGGACAGTAGGTGGCGACTCCGAGCATTTTCCGGTTGCACCAAGGGTCTGCGTTCAGCCCTTTCCTATTTGCCCTAGTGATGGATGCCACAACGCATCATATTCAAGGGGAGGTGCCATGGTGCATGCTATTTGCTGATGACATAGTCCTAATTGACGAGACACGATGCAGCGTCAATGAGAGGCTAGAGGTTTGGAGACATGCCCTTGAGTCAAAAGGTTTCAGGTTGAGCAGGACGAAGACGGAAAACCTCGAGTGCAAATTTGGAGCCGAGCCAACGGAAGCGGTAGTGGAAGTGAGGCTTGACTCTCAAGTCATCCCTAAGAGGGGTAGTTTCAAGTACCTTGGGTCAGTTATTCAGGGGACCGGGGAGATCGACGAGGATGTCACACACCGTATAGGGGTGGGGTGGATGAAGTGGAGGTTAGCGACGGGAGTCCTGTGTGACAAGAAAGTGCCACCGTTACTAAAAGGTAAGTTTTATAGAGCAGTGGTTAGGCCTGCCATGTTGTATGGGATCGAGTGTTGGCCGGTTAAGAGCTCACACATCCAGAAGATGAAAGTAGCAGAGATGAGGATGTTGAGGTGGATGTGCGGGCATACAAGGATGGATAAGATTAGGAATGGAGATATTCGAGAGAAGGTGGGAGTGGCCCCCATAGAGGACAAGATGCGGGAAGCAAGACTCAGATGGTTCGGGCACATTCAGAGAAGGAGCACTGATGCACCGGTGAGAAGGTGTGAGCGACTGGCGGTGGTGGGCACGAGGAGAGGTAGAGGGAGACCTAAGAAGTATTGGGAGAGGTGATCAGGCAGGACATGGCGCGACTTAGGATTACTGAGGACATGGCCCTTGACAGGGAATTGTGGAGGTCGAGCATTAAAGTTGTAGGTTAGGGGAAGTTGTGGATATTTCTACAGCACACTAGAGTGAGACTAGCCAGTTAGGAGTTAATCTTAGGATGCTACTGATCAGCTACTGATGCAGGGCTTTATCTGTTGGATATTAGTATACCTCCCATCTTTTTCGTATTTCCTATATTTCTTATATTGATGTTATTTTGTTATTTTATGGTATGGTATGTATTTTATGTTATTTTATGTTATTTTAGTATAAGTCTATTGATAGTACTAATATATCGTCTCTTGTTGCTTTCTTGAGCCGAGGGTCTCCTGGAAACAGCCTCCCTACCCCTCAGGGTAGGGGTAAGGTCTGCGTACATATTACCCTCCCCAGACCCTACTTGTGGGATTATACTGGGTTGTTGTTGTTGTTGTTGTTATATTAAACTCTTTGTGCACATAAAAAAAATTGGATTAACACTACTCACATGATCCAAAAAAGTAATCAACAAAAAATTGATTTCAAAATATATGAATGATCCGTACGTGTTCAATCCTACAAAATTAAAATGAAGACAAAAAATTGCAAAATTCGTTACAATTCCAAACGCATTTAAAACTAGTAAACATGAAAGGATCAATTTGAAGAAAATAGCTACACCATTTAAATAAGGAAAAAAAATATTTATAAGTAAAATTTTACTCAATTTAGATTCCTAAATATTATGAGTTTCTATATAGCTTAAATTAAGAATGATTTAATAAATAAATTTGCTTACTTTAAAGTTCAAAATATTAGGTAAATGATTAAACTATAATGACAATTTTGTCCAATATAAAGTCTATTTTTAAAGGGTAAAAAAGGCGAACGACATTTCGTTAAGGACCTTCGTGCTTTTAATATAGTATAGATATAGATATAGATAGATAAATATAGATTAATATCCCAAAAGAAATGACTAGTATGAGAAATAAAACCATACGTTTTCACTTGTTTTAACTAGGGAAAGATTAAGATGGTAAAAGGTCTTGAAGAATCAGCAAATTATATATCAAGCAGAAATATAGAACTATCAAAAAGTACATCCTTTCATCGTAACTATCATTTGTATTCATATGCCTAATCATGACATAAGGGAAAAGGATAAAAGGAAATGGGAATTTTCCCCAAAATGTGCACTTTTGGCTCAACAATTCCAGTGGTGTATTGTTTTTGAGAGAATACCATAAATATGTAGTAGAATGCTATTTAAGGACAAAGCATAGTTTGAAAGAACAAATGGGAGTGCTTATTAACCGAATGATATTTATAAGGTGCATCTGCCAAATGCAATACATAAGTCACATTTGACAGATGCCAATTTTACCATTGGACAAAATTGGATTAAGTGAGTGCTACTTATAAAACGAATTTGACAATTGCGACTTATGGCTTGCATTATCTTCCGTCTATTCTTTCCTTTATGGTTTGTTTTTAACTTGCATTCTGCAAATGCGTTTTGCATTTTTTTGGTATTCCCTTAAGACAACAAGAATGGTTGAGCCAAAACGTGTACATTTTGGGAAAAATTCAAAGGAATGAGGGTAGGTCGCTGCATATCATGTAGTGGATGAGTACCTGGCGCAAAACAAAGGAGACAGACAGGACAAAGCTGGATCATTAATAAGGTTATGAGATCTTCCCACTTTAACCAATTCCCACCTGAAAATCAATGTCGTTTGGGAGACAAGGGGTTGGTGGATGTATCATTAATCAATATGCTTTTCTATTTCTTGGAATTTTGGAAGAACACATCGAATATGAGTTTACAGGTTGGTGCCTCAAATTCATACGGACATTATCCTCCTAACCATACACAAGTCATACTGGCAATTTGCAAAGATATACGAAATTGCTAATTTGTCCTTACTTTGAAAGGCATGTAATTATTCGAATCCTAAAAGTCTTATTCCCTTGCTAAAAAAGCTAAGACGCCTTTTTAATTAAGCCATGTTAAAATAAAAACATATTGAGTTGAATATAAAAAGGAACTAAGCTATGTTGAGGCTGCTATTTGGTTACATTGATAATATGAGTATTACTCCATGATTTGGTTTATAGACAAGTGAATTGATTTGATCCCAAAATGACAAATAAATTAGATAAAAATGTAAGACTAAGCCTTGAAGATGAGATAAAACAGCAAAAATCTTGACTCCGGGAGCAGAGCTTCCGGAGACAATAATAACAATATAAATAAGCAAGAAGATAAAATTGTATTGAGCTTTGAATAGAGTATATTATATGTTTATCAGGAAATTCATGTCCTTTACAATGATTATAGAGCTCATTATTTATAGTTGCACATAGGGAACAAGGTCATAAGATCAAGACCCTCTTTAATGACAATTATGAGGGCCATTGAAGAATGTGTAACGGTAGGCAGTGAATGCCATATTCTCTGTAAGGACCATATACTTAATGCTGTAGAATATTCTCCACTTAATGTTATCGGGTGACAGACATTTATTTCGCCTTTATGAATATTATTCTCTCCGATAACAAACGAGATCGTTGACTCCGAACCCGACTGTCTTCTGTCTTCGACTCCACATGTCGCTTTCTCATGCGATAATTTGATATAAACATATTTTACCCTATACATATAGTCCCTCTGTTTTCCCGTGGCAAAATTTGTGTGAATGGGAAGTTGGTAGAGATACCTTTTTTGGCGGAAAATTCTCTGCCCCCTTCTGAAAAGTATCTGACGGTTGATTAGACGCACGTCTCTCCGCATTTAATGCCCCGAACATGCATCATCCTAGGATTCAACACCACTTTTGCTGGTTATCGAGGTAATTATAGCCACGATTTTAGCTGCCTATTCCTTTACTTATGCACATCAAACTTCTCCATTTACACTTCATAACTTTTTAAACTTTCTCAAACTCTCTTTACTCAACTCGGATTTCTCTTCAACTTGCCCTAATTTTTTTTTCCAGAAAAAACCCTTTTCCTCTTCTAATAACAATGGCCTCTTCTTCCAGAAACCCCAGTTCCTCAAAGAACAAAGGTAAAGTTGATGATGCTGCTCATCCTACGGTGAGCACCATCATTCCAAGGAGTCTTGTCACAACTAAGGACTTCGAAGAGAAGTACCCTTCGGCTAATCCTCACACATGGGCTGTTGGCATGTATCCTTCTTCTATCCATCCTTCCAGCGTTCCTACTGTGAAGGAAGACTGCCATTGCCATGGTTTAAACATCGTCGTACCTGACCTGGCGGAGTGGATAACCTTGCTCAAAAAGAGTTTCACGTATTTTTATCGTGAAGTTTTGCATCCATTACCAGGTATGTCTGGCACAGTAAGTCCTTCTGTGTGGAGGAAAATTGCTTGTCTTCGGCGTCTATGCTATGAGATGGGAGAGTAGCTAACCCTGGCTTGATTAACGAACCTTTATTCCCCCAAGATTTTTCGTGGGAGAATGATTAATTTAAGCAAACGTAGCCACCATGCTCTGCCAACCAGCATGGATGATGACAACGACCGTGGTGGATGAAACGGTTCATTGCAGTTTCCACCAGAGACATCATTCCGGCCACGACTCCATCCTTTCCGGAATTATGGAATCGTACTTGTAAGTTAACAGTTTGTTTTTTCTTCTACTAAGGATCGCCCCATGCTGTTAATGACCCTTCTTCTTTCACTTATTTCAGCAACTCGGTGGACACCACCTAAGATTGAAGGCTTGAACCAGTGGGTCCAAAAAATTTTGGATGTCACTATGCCCGAAACCCGCACGTGGAAAGAACTGACCCTTAAATATGGGTGGAAGGCCAAAAATCATGGTAAGTCGAACTCACCTTGTGTTTACCTTCCGTATAAGGAAGTTGATTAACCTTTCTCTCCTGTTGAATTCAGGTATACCACAGGGCTCAGTTGTCATCCCCGAGGAGGATGTTTTGGCTAATCTTGCTGACATGGCGAGGCTGCTGCAGGAGGCATTTACCCGAACAGGTGTCTCCAAGCCTGCTTCTGGTGCAAGTGCTTCTTCTCAGAGTCCCCGGCCTGACAACAAGCAACAGAAAAGGAGATGTTCCTCTGTGGCTGGGGAAAAAAAAATAAAAGGCAAAGAGTGTCGCGCCCGAGACGCCTCGGATGTTGTGGTGATGAGCGTTGTGCCCGAGCCGGCCATAGATACCATGGTGATCGATGATGATGGATGAGCTAGTGATGAGGGGGCTCCTCTATATAGAAGACGACGACCTTCATCCGCTTAACAGAATGCTTAATCTGTTGAGTTAGTTACACCAACCAAGGGCGATGCCTCGGCACTCTGGGGGAGTATGATATAGTAGAAAATGCTAATTCTCGCTTTTGAGTCCCAGTTGCCGTGACCAATACCGTGAGGCTAAGTACCGGGTCCCTTCCGTCTTCAGTTGATGAAGAACCAACAACCAGCACTATATTTTCCGCAGTTGCTTCTCGACCTACAACGCTATCAGCTTCATCTCCTTCTGCAACAACTCTGCCTTCGCCACCAGCGAATGCTACATCATCTCCACTTACCGTAGTTTCCAGAGAGGAGGATGTCCCTCTTCCCTAGTCCCAGTTTATGGGAACTTGGGGCAAAATTATGCTGCCCCCTCAGACGATCCCCAAAGGAGGAGGAACGTCTCCCTCTTGGTCTCTACCAGATGCCATCTGCTGTCCCAGCTGGTGGAACTTACTAATTATCTGAAGCCTCTGGCTTCAGAAAAAGATGGGAATAAAATACAAACTCTCTCGGGAGAGTGTTTGTTGAATAATGCTATGCACAACGCAGCGACGGTATAATATTTGTTTCCTTTGTTGTTTCTTCTATTGTTGTTATGGCAATGTTTTGAGTTTGTATTTTGTTTTGCAGGCCAACTTCCTTGCTTCCGAGGGCCTTCAAAGGCTGATTCTTGATAAGGAGGAACTTACCTCTGAGCGGGATCAACTTTTGGCCAAGCGAGACCAGACTGATGCTCGCCTCTCAGAACTAGAAACACGAGCTGCTGAGGCCGTGGAATTGGAGGCTCGGTTGAAGCAAAGAGGGCAAGAAGNTTTTGGGTATGGGCGATCGGAGCCGCACTTCGATGGGAATGGCCTCTGCACGAAGTTTCTTTGAATCTATACCCTTCCAGAATACCGGGGTGGCCTCCGGGGATCTGATCGACCCTCAAGTTATAAGTCTATACTCTTTTATCGTTATCTTCTATCTTCTTTTCTCCTGATTCAACTCTCTTGGTGAGATCCTCGAGCATCTTCATAATAGCAGGGTCCGTTGCTCACCCGTTGTTGCTCGATCTCTCCTGTACCTGCTCGACTCGAGGAGCCATCTTCAGTGTCTCCAGTGCCACTGTGCTTAGGGTTTTTTGTTGACTTTGCAGCTGAGCAATAGCCATTTGTTGTGCTTGTAACTTTTCAAAAATGACTTGCCGATGATTTTGTTTCCAGTTTTCGTATTCCGGTCGATGTGGCTGTCATTATTGCCGTATCCTCATACCATTGCCCCAGTGTTCGAATGCGAAGAATGCGAATTTTAACACTGGAAGTCTTAATCCTTTAAATAATCTTTAGTTCGGTAACAAGCTTCACTTCCCCTTAGGAACTTTGTTATCAAGCCAAAGACTATCTAACAACCCCTAATGGCTTGCACTCGTGAACAGTCGGGTAACCCCTGTCCGATAGCAAATTTTACTTCCCGGTAGGAACTTTTTCTATCGAGCCAAAGATTATCTAACCGCTCCGTAGTGATCCGTAGTTTGTGT